ACGAGTTAGCCAGCTAGGATTGTGCACTGTCACCTGATTCAGACGTGGGCAGCACAAATCAAGCCACGAAGAGACGTCTCCTTCAAACTGTGATTAAGACTATTTCTTTATATTCATATTTAATTCCGGTAAGTGGGGTAATCGAATATGAAAAAATATTTATCAAACGTTTTGATATTTGGTTAACCCGACGTTATGACAGTGAATAGGAAGTGACCGGGATGACGGTCTTGGTCTATTAATCCTGCAATATCCTGCACTGATATGAAAATCGCTGTATGCCTCAAGTGTTGGCCGACGTCTCAAGCTGGTATCTCCCGAACGCGATTCTGTTACGTCAGAAATTTAGGGAAGTAAAGTGTTTTGTCGCACTTCTGAAAAGAGATTAAATTAGACCGTGCCACATATTACTCGCATTTGAATGTTTTTGTTTCACAATATACTTTTCATGTGATTTGGCAACGCGGCTTTGGTCTGTCGGCTCCTCATCTCTCTTATAGTCAAGGTCAGTGAAAAATGTGGTCTTAGAGGTCGCAAGGTGTAAAGGGTGGGTGGCTTGTCGTGTGACGTCATTTTGTCGGTCCAGATCCAGCCAGTAACAAAGGTTCATAACGCCACAGATGTATGGGTTATTGTAACAAAGGATCCTCCTTGTCCCGAAATAAGATGACCCTTTTGATGCTGTTTCTCCACCTTGTGTTGGATGGTGACGTATAAAATTGTATTCTTGGTTAGAGGTGAGTATAATCATCCGACCACGTCCAGTTTGACGCTACATGATCTCTATAGTTGATAACAGCGTAGTAAAATTAGTGAACACGCTTAAGTAAGTTGAGAGTGTCTGCGAAGTCCGGGAAGTGATTAGGCCTATTAATTTATTGAAACGTGACTGTAATTCTTACCTTTCCCCCAACTCCCTCAAACAAAAATGAAGCCAGAAAGTCTTAATGGCGTAAGCTAATTTTACTGTAGGTAGAAGGCCACAACAGTTTGATATTACTACACGGAATGCAATCAGTAGTCGTGAAAAACGTTACGTACGCTTATCTCCTGTGCTATTTTAAGATCGATAAACTTTTGAATTTATCTTCCACAAATTCTGTTTACCGAAGTTAGATATGGATCAGGCTAAGCTCCAATTGTCGCGAATGTTAGTTGTTCAAGACCAGTAGAACGTACATCTTATGCTTTTAAATTCAATGGCTTTAGTGAGAGCACTAAGCAGAATGTTCTTTTACCAGTGGCGGAATATAAACTTCAATTTTTGTTGTTGCTAAACGAAGGGTACAGCCTAAGATAACGCGTACCGACATGTGACACATGTACGTAAAGCAGCAGACGAGATGAGAATCACAATTATTTTTTGACGTAAATACGTGTATATTTTAGGGTCAGTGTCATTCCGCAAAAAAGTGTGGCGAAAATGTGTAAGATGATTACCTAGGAAACTTCGTCTGTTTATCAACAAATCGACAATAATGGTTACCTAAGACACACTCTTAATCAAACTTTACCCAATTGTAAAGCATGTATAAAGGAAATATTTAGAATAAAGCCAATATATAAACTTCCTTTCCGTATAGACGTATTTACGTCAAATTCTCCGGAACCGTGGTTCCACTGACAACTTTTTCAAATCCTTAAGAGCGAAGGAACTAGATGGGTTTGTACTAACTAATAATAAATTAACAAATACTTTCGTGGGCCGCTAGTTGGACCACGCTGGCGTAAGGAATTGATGTAAAATATAATCATATTATTAAAACAAGCGTCGAAAGTTTGAGGGCATGCTGAACTCCCTTACCTCCAGTTTAAACAATTTCTCCACAGTTATTTTTATCATTGGGTACTGATTATGGCGTAGAAGAATGTTTATTGGATACTGATAGCTTTCCATAACGTTTCCCACCTCCACATTTTTTATATTAGTGGAGCCGGTTGAATTGTGCGTGTGGTCAGTTCTGTTCTGACTTTAGGTGATTTTTGGAATTGAAGGGCTGCCGTCGTTCCTTGCGTGCGATGTGTTTTAGGGCGACAATTCTTTGTCATGGGCTCCGTCATTTGAGGTTGTCTGTTGGGAGAATGGCGCTCACTGAAAGTCGTGCACCTCTGATTATAGACACTCCTGACGAGAGCTGTGTAATGCAGTTAAAGAATTCGTCGAGGACAAATTCTTCTGTGAACACTGTGATCTAGAAATAGTACTTTGCCGGCTCAGTATAGGGTACAGGATTCACGTTGGATGTTGGCCCAAGTGCATGTCTTCGAGCGACAGTCTCATTGGGTACCTGTCCTGTGAACAGCTTGCAGGTGTGGATTGCATCTAGCAGGTTCTGCTGCGATACTCTCTTTTTTCTGTGCATTGCACATACGTCATGATCTTTAGAAGGATTTCGAATGCAGGTTTTATTGGAAAGAAGTGGTTGTTGCCTTCAGCAGTAAACCAAGCTGGGAGGTCAATCTAACAAGGGTTGTCCAACTTTGCTAAATGCTGATTGGTCACAGTCAGTTATTGATGTTTTGGGCGGTATGCTTGCGTATCTAAAGAAATGCGTGGATTGTACCTTAAAATGAGCTGCTACCACTTCCTTCCTCGCAACGACAGCATTCAAGATCATTATGTCGGAAAATATAAACGAGGGAAAGTTGTTGCATTTCATGTGTTTACAACCTCAGGTGTTTGAATTTATTATCTAGGACGATCTGTTTCGACGCTACTCTATAACATTACTAACATTACTAGTTTGCCATGGCGGAAACCTTAGGTGAAACTTTACTAGCAGCTGAGTGAGATTTCAGGTTCTCACGGCAGCAAGTGTGAATTTTGTGTCGTGTAGACTGGCAGAAGTTTGCCGACGTTTCAGGGGCGCTTGCTGCCTTATAAGGAGCTCGTACGCCCCGAGTAATAAGGAACATTGGACTTTAAGAAACATTCCTAATATAATCCGTAGATAGCCTGTCTATCACATAGGTCTGATTAGCAGGCACTATCTTTCTTTAACACCTGTCGCTCAAATGTTGATATCAGCATCAGTCACAAGCAGTGGGATGCGATCTGATACGTTCAGTTCATATATCGTAAGTAAGATAAGACTACCAGTTTGTGAACTCAACAGCATTCGGAACTTTTGCTTCGTTCTCTGTGTCGACTGACGTAGGCTACAGTAAGTACCATCTTGCCACTCACGAACTGCCGACGCGGAAGAATTTTATTTTACAAAAACGAAAAACAAACCAAAACAACAGTTGTGTAAAAACCCAGAGGTGTCGTTAAATTGTAAAAAAAAAGGAATCATACAAAAATTGAAGGCATTTGTTATTTGACGAATTTTTCAGGAAATACGTTCTTAAATGGAGTAGGCTCCGGCATTTAAATGTCCAACTTCCAAACCGGAGGAGCCCCCCCCCCCCCCCCGGAATGGTGTCTTCAGAAACCTTCCCTAACCTAACATAACCTTGTAGTCCTTAGTTGTTGGTGCAGATGTGCTGTTAACTTGGATCCAAATTTTTTTTCGTAAAACTCAAGAAATGACAACTTTTGCTGGCATCCATATTGAAATGCTGTTGTAATCATTAAAACGTTAAATGTCTTATTGCGTTACAGTACTTTGTTGCAAATAATGCCATTAAACTTTAATTATCTTGGGAAGTTACGAAACCAATTCTTGTCTATCCTGCGTTTTCATAACTCACTCTTTGCCTCGATTTTTGTAAAACAAACGATAAATAAAGACGTGACATCACGCGTGTTTTGATAAACTTGATCCCTGGCTGTTATTGTTCCCGCAAGGAGAAGCTGTCAGTGGGCGGTCGCTAACGGGGCCGCTGTCCACCTCCAATATGATACATGAGCACATATGAAGCAGCGGTGGAATGATATTGACAGGGATAAGCCTAAGAACTCGGAGTAAAACCTGTCCCAGTGCCATTTCGTCAACGACAAATTCCACTGGACACTTGGGCACGAACTCGGGTAGTTACAAGGCCAAAGCTGGTCGTTTATTAACCAGGCTTCGTGACCAGACGTCTAGGAGGAAAGAAGTGCCGTGATTTTCATTTTAAATTTTTTCACGCAACTTCTTTGGTGAAAAGAACAATTACAAGCTCCGATGTCCTTGCTCTGATTCAACCTACAGGCTTTTTTTCATTAAAATAACGGAGTTGTGTCTAAGTATTTATGTACGCGTGGTGGGAATAAACAAGGTATGTTCATACGCGTTCCCTCTTTTTTACGAGCCGATGTGACGTAGAGCGTGGTTCTCTTCTACCGATTCCCAGTTGCAGTTGAACCACACTCTCAGCAAGCTACCATCTGGTCTTGAGCCGCAGTATGGCCAGGCCTCAGCACTGTTACCAACCATACAAAGAAAATATCCTCACATTGCTGATGCTTTTGTAATCTTTCTTATAAATGACTTTCTGAAGGGCGCCACACAGTGAAGGCACACAACGTATGTGGATGTTAAGCTTCGTACAGTCTACACTTTGGTTTTTTGATATGCGTCGGTCGTTTTGCTCGTCGAGAAAGAGTTTGTGAAATCTGTCGGAAAGGATGGTTGGTGAAGTCGATCTGGATGTCAAGGAGAAGAGAGGTAGATGTCATCTCTTTCTGGAAGTATAGCCCAGTAAATCCTAGCCAATTAGTCACACTTTTGACCGAGTGCAGTGCTCTGTGGCCTGATGTTAAGTAACATTATGTAGTTATAGGTCTTTAAAACGGTTAGATAGAGCAATGAATCTCCAGCAATGATTCACTTGTGTCAGAAGTTCTAAAACAAATTTTCGAACGTACGAAGTGCACGAACTGCGTCACTGTTTACAGTTTCAGATAGACGTCGATTCTTGTGCTGGTCTTCCCCTCTTAGTTCGGTAATAAACGAGTTTGGCGTAAGAGTACGTTACTTTAGTGATGGAGTAAACTTTGTTTGAACCGGTAGTAGGTTAGAAAGCAAGGCAACGCAAGGCAGGCAGGCAACGTTGCCCAACGAGTGAGCGGGCTCGCTGCCTGGACGCCACGCAACCTTCACAAGGTGACAGGCGAGCCGCAAGACTAGCCGAGCAAGCCTCGAGCATTTCAAATCCATTTTAGCAGCTTGAATTTCGCGTTTCCGTGTTATACTTTTCATCAGTGGAACTCATATTTGTTTCTTCGACGCTTGTGTTGTCGGAATCCTTGTTCATGACAGTGTTTTAACTAACTTCGCCAAAATTAATTTACGTTTAATCTGTGTATTCGTTATTGCCTTTCTAATGGTGCCGCGAAATTTTTGTATCTCGCCAATATTTGTTGGTTTTTCGCGTGTTCGTGTACTGCAGGTGACGTAGACGTAGTCCTGGTCGGGCAAGTACAGGAAACCAGTCGCATTCGACGATTTAAGTTCATGACAGTGACTCACGAGGATTAAATCAAAGTGTTGTTCGTCATGACTTGTGTGCGACCAGTGGATTTCGGAATGCTGGGACGAGTTGGTTCTGATATATGTATCTGTGATTCAGCGTGTGAATTCATTTGAATAACGAGGTTCAGTTTTAGGATTAGTTTAAGTGTTGGTAATTGTGATTCGTTTAATAAACGTGTGAAAGAACACAAGTAGTTCTTCATCTTAACATGCGTGACACTTCAGGTGAGTAACACGGATTGGAATCATTGAAACAGTCTGGTCGAGAAGCTATATGTCTAGACTAATTCATGAACAGGCCCATCCACCTCTTGGCCGGCATAATTCTAGGTCCTACTGAAACCAATTTGTTGTTACAGTTTTGCTGTGGTGATTTCACAAGTTAACAATGTGCCGGGGTAATTCAGTCAGTTTTGTCCCTAGGCTAAGGACATGACGAGCGGGTGGGTAGTGGCAGGAATTTATCTTAGCCCCCTCGGTTAGATCGACCCTGGGGTACCGGGGCCTGAATTCGATAATTCATTTCCATGTAGCAAAGAGGTTAAGAATGCCCATTACATATTCACTGTGAGGTGCTTAATTAAGCACAGGAACAATGACAACTTCGCAGATTCATGAGGATATTCACGTAATGTTCTACTGTTATCATGAAATCTTTCTGTCCCAGACATATCAGGTTATTTGTACGGTCGGTTTAATTATTTGACATTAGCTAGCAATGTAAGTTGCAGTGTTCGTGATAGGTTACTTAGTCTTCTGTCTTATGACGTTTTCTGTACGGCCGGAACACGAACAATGGTACATGTTTTAACAGCAGTACGGATCGCGACCATTTCGCCGGGTTTTTACAGTTATTAGCGTTTATTTTAGTTATTTTTTATTTCTATTAAACTTATTAACGTTGTGAAACCGAATCTCATGTTCAGTTGATTAATGCTGTTTAGGGAAATAATCGCTGTGTTTACCCGAGAATGACATGACGCTGTGGGTCAAATGCAGAGTTACTGATTGTTAAAGCAGATGATATGTGTAGTTTTAAAGGTATAATACTAGTGAATTTTATAGTTGTTTCGTTTGGTATGACTGTATTGATATTATATTTGTGGAAGTGGGTATTTTCTCAGAGTCTGCAGGAAAGGGTCATGTTGAACAATGCTTGGGTATCTAATGTGCGAACCCTCCGTGCCGCTCTGCGTTGGGGACACGTAATTTGCCATGATTATAGAACATCATTTCCACCTCCCACCCGTGTATTGAGTTTATTTTACGCACTGCGAGGTACTGAGTGTATTTATTTTACTGCTTTAAGTCAGATATACATTTGACTGTTCGCGTTGATAAATACATAACTACCACGCTCCTAATTGGTATGGTGGTAGCACAGTGATCCTAAGCAAATTGACCGTCTACACGCCCAAAGACTGAATTTTGTTTCTTGGCGGTGGCAGAGATTTTTATCTGCACCAACACCCACTAAAACCAGACATCCTGGGGATACCGAAGGCTCTTTTCTCACTATTAAGGATAAAGTGACCGGATTATGGAGCAAATCGCCAGACCCATCTTGTGTGCCTAAGTGTGAACTTCATCTTACCTCGTCTCTCCTTCATGGCACATGGCAGTGTTTGCAGTCACGGACAACTCTGTGTTTGTATGTCTTCTTCACTCCTAAGCATGGTCGGAAACACCTTATGGGCCCATACGTGGCTGGGTTGGTATTCGCTACGGAGGTATTCTTAATGGGGGTCCGCAGTGGCCGCGCGGTCTGAGGCGTGGGCCATCTACCGCTTGGTCGCTGGGACCGTGGGTTCGAATCCCACTCAAGCCATGGATGTTTTTCTGTGTTGTGCTGTCCAGTGTACAGGTAGATGCCTTGCGACGGGCCGATCCCTCATCCAAGGAGTCCTACCGAATGTCTATAGATCAAGCCAACGAAAGTTGGGACCCGCAGTGCTCAGACACTTGAAGAACGGGTCGTTCCCAGTATCCCAGGTTTCATAATGCATGACCTATGATGGGATTTGTGACATAATGATCTCTTATCACATCACTTCAACAGCGACTTACGTGATGTGGCATTTTGAACGTCTTTGGAATGCAAATGTACTTTAAAGAGTACGTTTTCTCAGTTTTTACTGTATTATTGTTGAAATACTGTAAATGCTCTGGCGCTCTATACAATAAAGGCATAAAAGTTACTAGCTAACGTACAGTTCATTTTCCTCTATTCTGGAGATGGAAACATCCAGCCTTCCAGAAAGTATTTTTATCCAGACATTTTACGGCGTCCTGGGAAGCTCGTCTTGTTGGTCATGACCTGTGAGATGTGACACTTTCCGGATTATGTTTATGATGTAGTGATATTTTGGATGTTGGTCTTCTGATTTATGACGCCGTGTGTTCTTGTATGTAGTTATCTTCTAGATAGGCTCTACAACCCAAATAAACCCCGCTTGAGAACCTTATGTATCATGTGATATGTTTGCATCATCTCGTGCTCTGCACTCCAGGCGGGCTCATTTCTCCATTGGTAGCGAAATTAAAGGATAAGAATGAAAGAAGAAAGGGCTAAAAGCATCGGACGAAACCACTCGTAATCCGGGCATTGACGAAGTTAAATTAGAATGAAATAAATTATGTAATTGCGTCTGCATTTTGGTCCCTCCCCCTTTGTGTGTATCTGGCCTTCTGCCAGCTGGAAGAGCCCTGCAGGATACGGTACTGGTTCCGCATAAAGTAAGCTTTTACTCCATCAACTTTCATGGTTTTCCAAGAATTGGTGGCTCCCCGTTCATATTCTTTGATTTCCTTGTTTGTTTGTAGCCTGTGAATGTCAATGAACAGGTGTAAAACGTGAATGCATACACATCGTGTGAAGTAATCCAGTTTGCATGCAAATGAATCGTGTCGGATTACGAAAACATCGTCACGTAACGATCGTACGTTTAGACGTCACATTTAAGCAGGTCTTAAACGTACTCTTGCCGTGTTGATAATGAGGGTTGGAACTCCTTTGAGGAATAGTGTTCGTATCTGCGAATAACAAAATTCATTTTCCTTAACAAGCTAGGAATACGTGTATAGATTCGCCTGATTTGCATCTGGGTGTCTCAACTCAACGGATGCTGTGTGTTTTATCAATAAATAAAAGTTTCTGACTCTATACCTTATTCCGCAAAATTTCTTGTCATTGGGAAAGTTTTCCTCGCTTCAGTCGTCACATTCCTTCAGATGGTTTTTAAGCGATACGAATTTAGATCCTTTCAAGATCAGAAGTTTCCATTTCGAGAAAACTTACACACAGCCAAATCACGAAATTTCGATCAATGTTTGTCTGTCAGGCAGAACTGTTCTTATGAAAAGTGCAGCATCGGGAACTTTCATACGTAAAAGTTAACTCTCGTTAGACGCAGGATCCGCGTAAAACGGGGAACATACTCATGGATTTTCTGGGTGATGCACCATGAGAGGCCTTAATTTGTAGTCTCCAGAGTCAGTGAAACTGAGTGCCTAGGTCATGGGCCTGCGCGGCAGCTTCTACCGTGGCCGCGGATAAGATATTGATCCTTTTCATGATACTGAAATGAAATTTCTGTCATGCGAATACACAGAAAGTGAAATCGCGTTCAAAGAGTTGCCTGTTCTCGATAGCGACCTGTTCAGAGTCTGGCTATGTAAGCGAAAGTTAGTGTGGAAGAGAAGATCTTACTGTATCGTTTAAACGACGTTTTATCCTCTCATAACATACAAATTACGTATTTGTTAAATTCCTCTCAGTACCAACATCATAAAAAATAAAATTCGATTAAATCTGATCCACTTGGTCTGCACTAAAGCGTTCAGGGGAATTTAGTTTCTGTTCGTATCGTGCCTCTACTTTATAATGAAATTGAAATTTGTCTTTAGTCTACAAAATTTATCGCAAACGCCTATTATACAAAAAAAGTAAATTCATATCTCTTTTTTATATTTTATGTGAGGAATAAGACAATTCCTGCTTGATGTATTGTAGATAGTCTTTGCTAAGAATTGAATTTATTGAATTTTTAGGTCATTCTCAGTCATTACTAATGAATTCCGCTAGTCTGTTAAAACAGGCCACGACCACTTTCTTCCGAGTCATTCTCTCTCACTTCAAGATCATCTGTATATCCATTTCTGTTCTATATGAACTTTGGAGTAAAATGGCTGTATTAAATGATCTCAGAGTAGGCCTGAATCAACAGTGGATTTTTATCAGCAACTCAGTAAAGAGAGAACAATGGAGAAAAATAGATACGCCATTTTATCCCCCCTCTTCAGATCGTTTTTAGATAGTCCGTACATCTGCGAGTCTGTGTGATTCGCGATGCCTTCAGATTGAAATCACACTGTCTTTCGACTATCAGAAACTTCGCTGCTTGAAGCAGGAAAAAAAAATGCAATATCTCGAGTCGGAGAGGCAGGCTATGAAGTTAACTTTCCAACGAGCGGCAGGAAATGCCAAAACGCAGGTCGACCGCATACACCTGCATTCCTGTGGGCAATTTTACTCTGGGAACGGATGGCTCATGTCCGTGCTGAAGTGGAATGTACTTATTATCATTAAGCCTTCGTATGAGGAATTCCTATGGAATATTTGTGGTCAATATAGTAGTTAAATATAATTTTTCGTGGTGTAGTGCAAGGTGGCTTGTTTTTGCATGTGATGTCATTATTTAATGTGAATTTGTCAGATATTTATTCAGTCGTCTGTACAATGAGTAAGTGATGGTCGTAGGCAACGCGAACCCGGTAGACGCAAATGAGGGAAGGTTTGTCCTGTTACATCAGCTGTTGTCTTTTGTGCTATCATCGTCGCTTTTGAGGTAAAGTGTGAACTGGAATTGTTTCGTTTACTTTCCCTCGTTCTTGAAGGCAGGACATGACCGTATCCTACCTTTTTTCACATTCCCTTCGTTTATCGTTCGACATAGGTCTACAGCCTACGAAACTCACCGGATTTCGTTGGATAATGACAGGCAAAAAGGATACTGTGTAGCCACTCGTAAAAAAAATTCCTCCACAGAATTGCTAGAAAGTTGTTTTTCTTGGGGGTGTGTGTTTTTTTAACAGGTAGTACAGTGACGGTAATTGTACTTTCTACTTTTGTGTGGTAAATATGGAAAGCTGGCTCGTCTTTCGTAATGAAAGGGCGTTCAAAGAGAGAACTGGAAATGTTACCAACATAGTGAATTTTCCTCCGC